TTTCGATTTGCAAGCCCCCCCCCCCCCTCAAACTTTCGATTTCCACCCCCCCCCCTCCTAGTTTTTATCTATATATTTTGCTATTTTTTGCCTTGGTGTCACCCCCCTAAATGGTGTCACCCGGTGCGGTCCGCCCCACCCCCCCCGCCCCCCCCCCCTCGCTACGCCCCTGTCCTTAAACCTAAACCAAGAAGATTGAATGAAACGCTTACTTCAGAATCTCAAATTTGAGTAGGCGTTGGTCAAAATATGTTTTTTTTTTTCATATGTGCACAATCCATTATGGGCCAAAACTGATTAAAATTTTAATGCAGTAGTTAAACAGTTTATGTAAACCAACTTACAAATTAAGCTGTTCCAAAATTTTATTGGCAGAAGCAAAGGTTTAAGCAACTTTTTATTTATGTTTTGCATTACCGCTTGATTATGTTCCATGTCAGGACTGATCTAAATCAATATTGTAGAAATAAATGTGGGGTAATGAAAAAAAATAGTGCATGAATTTAAATGGTTCTAACTATACGTGACGATAGGCGAAATGTGTTTGGGGGAGGGGGGTACATTGTGTAAAGGAAGCCTGAAGTAAATTATCTGATGTCCCTTAATTAATATGTTATAATGGATCTTAATTGGAATATGATTGTATTTGGTTCATATTTAGCTACGTTTATTACACTGCTCACTACAGTTGACTACAAACATATTAAAAAAATAATTCTTGGTTGTGCATTCTGAAGCTAAATATACTTGCTGTTATGGTTTCATTTAGTTATTTCAGTTCAATTTAAGCTTTGTGTAGTTTATTGTTTTGGTTTAGTTCTGATTAGTGATTAGTGGTTTGTTTAGTGTAGCTACGGGGTCATCCATAAATGACGTCACGCTTTTTAAAAATGATTTTTACCTCCTTCCCTCCCCTCTGTCACACGTCGTCACAAAAAGCCAGACCCCCCCCCCCCCTAAAATGACGTCACACCTCAACCTACAACCCATCTCACAATTGCAGTTGAATTTTTTTTAAACATCGATATTTTTTCTAAACTCTTGTCTAAACTATTACAATTTATTAAAACAGTTATCTAAAACACGAAATAACGTCTAAAATTCGTTTTCTAACATTGCTTTTTTATAATGCAAAAATGTGACGTCGCAACATCTGAACCCCCCCCCCCCTCCCCCTCATCACACATCGTCACAAAATTACGGACCCCCCCTCCCCCCTACGAGTGTGACGTCATTTATGGATGACCCCTACGTGATAGAGTAACATCCAGAGTGTGTCTAAAATTCACATTTTGTTATTGACATAATGAATGGGCAGAGGCGTAGCGAGGAGGGGGGGGGGGCGGGGGTGCGGACCGCACCGGGTGACACCTTTTACGGGGGGTGACACCAAGGCAAAAAATTGCAAAAATAAATAGAGAACAATTTGAGAGGGGGGAATGCACATCGAAAGTTTGAGGGGGTGCACATCGAAAGTTTTGACGGGGGGGGGTGCAAATCGAAAATTTTAAAGTTTGTCCCCGGGAAGGGTCGCTACGCCTCTGGGGGGTGACACCATTAAGTGCCGCACCGGGTGACACCCGACCTCGCTACGCCACTGTGAATGGGTAACCCTAAACGTAAGGAGATCAGTAGTTTTGAGTTGTAAGGGGAAACAACTGTAGAAATCCAAAGTTTTCTGAAGCAGTATAAAAGAAAGGGGTTAGTAGGCTGTGTAACACAGACGGGTTCGCAGCTTAGAACGTACGTTGCATCTTCGGTGAGTTTTGTTGAATGAAAATACTGGCCTAGATTTCAGATCTCTAACGCGAATGTTATTATTTATTTTATAAAATTATTGTATTATTAGATATATGATATATTAAGTCATTTACGTAATATAATACATTTTATAGTAGATCTGTTGAGTTTTTTTGAGTGAAAAAAACCTGACCCAGATAATCTAGAACAGATCTATACATAATACATACTACATTAATTATACATAGATCTACATACATACACCATACATTACGAATGTGTGCGAATGTTATTAAATTATTTTATGATTATTCTAAATTCTATAGAGATCTACTACTAGATTCTATGTTAATACAAATAGATCAATTAAATAAAAAAATTATTAGGTCCAGATAAGTAGGACAATGTCAATTAAGTCATTATGATCTAGAATAGCTCTAGATCTAGATCTTGTTTTAAGATTACATTTGATTATAAATGTCTTATGATTACATTGATAAAAAAAAACAGGTAAAGTATACTTAGTGTAGGCTGGGATAATGATTTATTAATTATTATTTTGTCCTTTTTAATTGAATGGGACCTCTATCTACATGATTAATAGTAATAATAGTTGAGAATCAGCTTTTAAATTATAGAATATATTATGGAGTTCTACAGGGCTAACGTGTTCATAGTTTTAAATTATGTGCAGAAGAATCTAAAGTCGTCTGCTTGAAAAGGTCAAAGGCCATGAACTCGGTTTTATTTTGCAACCCGGCGACTCCGGCCTACAAATAATAATATAATCAATCAATTATTCTAGATCTAGGATTAAAAGCGATTAAAAATGTGTTTAATTTTTTGTTGTTTTTTTTTTACTTTAAAGTTTCGCGGACTTTCTAGATTTAAGTCTTCATTTAACCATATCATTTTCTGTTAAAATGCATTGACCTAAAAAAATGTATACCGTTACGCGTATTAATATTATCATTATGAGACACAAGTTCACAGAACCTTGGGTTATTATTGAAAGTTCAAGGTTCACGGGGCATAACAAATAACTAGTTGGTGATAAGCCTAGTCTATTTTTTTGTTGATGATAAACTTGTTTGAGTGGGGCTGATACAGTGGCATAGGCGTGTAAAGGTGGAGGGGGGGGGGCGCCCATTTAAAAATGTATTCACGATACATTGCAGCTATTGGCGACGGTATACGTATAGCTATCAATTAATGCTTAAACACCAAACACCCAGGGTCGTAGCCTGAATAATAGAACAATCAACTCAATTCACACTCAAGTTCCTTCTAGGCATTTCTTTCTTCGGGGTGGGGGTTAGCCTCCCCCGCCCCCACATCCACCGCCTACTCCCCCCCCCAAACGAAATTGTAAAAATATATAATATATATAGAAAATAAACCAGTGACCGCACTCCCCCCCCCCCCAAATTTGAAGTGCACACCCCACCCCTAGAAAAAATGGCTGAAAGAAACACGGTTGTAGTATTCCAAGGTTCTGTCTTTTTGTCCTGATTCCCACTTTTTCTTCTCTTTCCGAATGTTGACTGGATTTCCTCCAACAAAATTAAGTATTACGAGTCAACCTGTATTAAGCGACATATATACTGTTGACTCGGATTTTAGCGTGGTTTTTTTTTTTTTTGGATTTGCTTCCATAGCTTTTGTCCACCCCCAAGAACAAACTCCAAGGAAGCAGTTGTTTGACTTTGGAGTTTTATCTCCTAGATGGGTTGCTGTCCACTGCCACATTTTCTTTCCTGGGGTTCGAACTCTGGACTTCTGTTTAGCAAACCATCAGCTTTACCGACCAGACCACGCCAACCCCTTTTTCCCCACACTTCTAATTACGTTAATATATGTTTACAATGCCAAATTAATCTGAGCTACTAGACTGTCTAACTACACCCCCAGAGCTCCATAAAAGGTACACATCACTGCATGGGTCCTCCCACGGTCTATCTTCCTCCAGCATTTCATTCACCTGATGCAACTCTATACTGTCTGGAACGGCATGTGGGAGTACAAGGAAAAGAGTACAAATCACTACCTGTGTCCTCCCACAGGGGCACTTGATATTTTCGGTCCGCCCCCCCCTCCCCGAAGAGATACCTGGATGTAACTCTGCCTGTAGTATCATATTACAGCTCTCCCATTGACACAGAGGCGTAGCGACCCTTCCCGGCCCCCGGGACAAACTTTCAATTTGGTGCCCCCCCACCGGGACAAACTTTCAATTTGGCGCCCCCCCCCCCACATATATGTTTTTATAATTATAATGCAAAACTGCAGCTAAAATGAGCTGTTAATGTTTTTTTTAAACTCGTTTTGGCGCCCCCTAGAGTCGGCGCCCGGGGACATATGGACCCCCGCCCCCCCCCCCCACCCTCGCTACGCCTCTGCATTGACAGTTTAACATGGAATGGAGTTCCCCCCTTGCCACCCGGCCCTGAATACCTTAACTGTGTCAGTGTTGTAACCCACCCCCACAATGAACAAAGAAACACAATTTACTGAGATGGACTATGGCAGTGACCAACCCCCTTGCTGGGAATCAGAAAAGTAGTTGGAGGGGGGGGGGCGCTCTTTGGCCAACTTGAATAACTATATATAGGCTTAATGTGTGTGTGTCTGTATGCAAAATTGATGCCTCGCCCCGGGCGACTGACACCCCCCCCCCCTCCGCCACCACAAAAAAAACCAACAACAACCAACCTTGAAAGGACAGATCCACCAATTACCAACATCAGCGAATGACGGCTAACTGTGACCAATCGTGTATGTCGTACATTTATTCATTGTTTCCGTTCTCCCGGGTCAGTGGGGTCATTGACCTATATTGGCAACAACGATCACCTGTTTGCAGCCTACTGTGTAATCGTGGGTATTAATGTTTGTATTTGTTATTATCGCAATCTTAACTTAAGCGTAACTCGAATTCTAAACAAAATATCGAAACATTACTGTTGGCTGTTTGAAAAACGGGGGGGGGGGGGGGGGGGATGTCTTGCATAAATGACTTCACGCTTTTTAAACGAATGTTAACGCCCCCTTCCCATCTTCAAAAAAAAAAAAAAAAAAAAAAAACCAGTCCCCGACCCTATAATTAATCACGTCACATCGCAACACTCCCCATCGACATTTTTTTAAGCATCGTTTTTTTTTTTCTCTCACATATTTCTGAACTCTGTCAGCATTGAGTAGACCTACATACAAAATTTCTATTGCTATTTACAAAATAAACACCCTTTAAAAAGATAGAAATAAATTCATTTTCTAACATCACTTTTTGAAATGCTAACTTTTCAAAAGTAAGTCGTCATATTCTGCCCCCCCCCCCACCTGACTTATTTTATGGACAACCCCTAATAACCTCAGCTTACATCAGGGTTTCTTCCAGACATTTTCAAATGGGGGGGGGGGGGGGCACTGGAACTTCTGGAAGTGGGGGGGGGGGGAGCAGACAGGGTTAAAGTAAATATTATCTTTATAGATTATTTTTCTATTTTGTCCACCGGAGAGGGAGGGGGGCATTGTCCCCCCCCCCCCCCTCATACACAAAGAGAAATACTTATGAAATAATAAATAATTCTGCTATGTTATTTTACATGTAAATGTTTTTGTATCAGAAAATGACAGGAAGGGAGTTTGTTCTGAGATGCCTGAAAAAACTGACTTAGGCGTACCATAAAATAATTATAAAATAATATTCAATGCTGATGTTATTTTACATGTAAACATTTGTATCAGAAAATGGTTGGAAGATAGTTTGTTCAGAGATGCCTAAAAAAAAATCTGACTTACCATAAAATAATTATTAAATACCATTCAATGCTGATATGTTATTTTACATGTAAACATTTCTGTTTGTATCAGAAAATGGCAGGGAGAGAATTTGTTAAGAAATGCCTAAAAAATCTCTGACTTACCCTAAAATAATTATAAAATAATATTTAATGCTGCTATGTAATTTTACATTAACATTTCTCTTTGTATCAGAAAATGGCAGTAAGAGAGTTTGTTCAGAGTTGCCCAAAAAAACTCTGACTTAGGCCTACCCTAAAATAATTATAAAATACCATTCAATGCTGATAAGTTATTTTACATGTAAACATTTCTCTTTGTATCAGAAAATGACAAGAAGATAGTTTGTTCAGAAATGCCTGAAAAAACTGACTTAGGCCTACCATAAAATAATTATAAAATACCATTCAATGCTGACAAGTTATTTTACATTCTCTTTGTATCAGAAAATGGCAGGAAGACAATTTGTTAAGAGATTCTTAAAAAATCTCTGACTTACCCTAAAATAATTATAAAATACCATTCAATGCTGTTATTTTACATGTAAACATTTCTCTTTGTATCAGAAAATGGTAGGAAGAGAGTTTGATAAGAAATGCCTAAAAAAATCTCTGACTTACCCTAAAATAATTATAAAATATCATCTAATGCTGACAAGTTATTTTACATTTCTATTTGTATCAGAAAATGGCAGGAAGAGTGTTTGTTTAGAGTTGCCTGAAATAATTATAAAATACCATTCAATGCTGATATGTTATTTTACATTAACAATTCTCTTTGTATCAGAAAATGGCAGGAAGAGAGTTCGTTCCCCCATCTCACTATGACCCAGCTATTGTGGCCCTTGAAGAAGCAGTGAAGCTCTCCAAAGCCCCCGGCACCGCCCCTGAGCTGGCAGACGCTGTACAGAAGGTTCGAGACCTGGTGAGGATCAGAGAAGAATTCACGAGTTTTACCACCACCAAGGGCAGCGAAGGGTGCCAGGCCATCTACGAGGCGACAACGAAACACGACTGGGAGAAACCGTTTGAGGAGGGAAAAACAACATGGCTGCTGAGGCCATTCATGATGAGTGGGCATCTAGAAGGTGAGTGGGACATTTCAACATTCTTTTTATTTTTATTAAAACCTAATTTTAAATTTTTTTTTTTTTAATTTGGATAGAAAATATGCAATTGATATTTGTAGAGTATCCTATAATGTTGTTGCTGACCACAACTATCCTTTCATATGCCGAGGTCAATGAATCAGATGAACTCTACTTCACCTACCCCATGTGTCTTGGGCATGAACAGGATTAAGAAAAAGATCCTATATTGCGATTATAAAGTAGAGTTGCCTGAAAGAAACACTGAATGTATTAAATTTAAATTCCATGTTTAATAGTATACAATACATCAGTCTCCATGCAGTAATAAATTTTTTTCAAATGTCTTTTGGTCAATTTAGGTCAGTTTTTAAAGTCCATAGTCAGTATCCAAAAAGCCAAAAGAATTCTGGATATCGGAATGTTCTCTGGATACAGCGCACTTTCTATGGCGGAGGCCTTGCCAGGTAATTGGTGTGGATTTTTTTTAATCTTAATTAAGCAATAAAAATAAACATCAGCTGTAGGTAGAGTTGTTTATATTTTTTTACAAAGAATCTGAGCCTTCTGGATCTAGGACATTATTTCCTGGTCTATAAAACCCCTTCCCCCAGTCATTACACTTTGTCATTTAACCCCCCCCCCCCCCCCCCCATCTGTGAATACATATACAAATATCCATCTTCTTATCCAGTGCCATTATCTTTATCTCTATCACTATCCCTATTTCTTCCTTACCATATCCATTGCCCTATCCACATCCATTACATTATCCATACCTCTATTAGGTGTAGGGTCAATTATTAATTGACAGAGGTTGGGCTATATCCTACTGCATTTTTTTAGTGGGGGGGGGGGGGGCTAAAATACAGAGGGTTATTGACAAGGATAATGTCTTGCTTCTGAACGAATTTATCTATTTGATCCAGTGGCGTAGCCAGGATCGTCTCAAGGGGGGGGGGGGGGGTTCCAATTTTTACTCGGGGACAAACTTTCGATTTGCACCCCCCCCCCTCAAACTTTTGATTTGCACCCCCCCCCCTCAAACTTTCGATTTGCACCCCCCCTCATACTTTTTCTATATACCGAGGGGTCTATGGGGGGGGTTATGACCCCCCCTAACCCCCCCCCCCTGCCTACGCCACTGATTTGATCATTAATTTTCACAAACAAAATGTAGATATATTTTTATTTAAATGAATGTTAACAGGTTTTTATCACCAAGTGTTAATTGGTTTTCACAAAATAATATGAACACATTTGTATTTTACTGAATAATGTGAACAGGCTAATAACTATGACTGTGAAGATTTTTTTTAGCTCATTGATTTTAACAAAGAATGTAAACATATTTTTCAGCTGACGGGGAAGTTATAACGATTGATCAAGACGAGTATCTCAAAACATTTGTTGAGGATTTATTGGTGAAGTCACCACATGGGAAGAAAGTGAAGATTGTTTTAGGTATGTATGTCTAGTGCTACATGAATGTCAGCAAGGAAATAGAGTACTCAGGTGTTTTTTTAAAAATGTTTTTACTGTTGTTAGCTAGATCTAAGACTGTAGTGATTGTGATAAAAAGAAAGAACTTAAAATGTAGCCAATGGTGTGGCCTAGTGGTAGAGAGCTAGACTGCTAACCCAAAAGTCTTGAGTTTGAATCCGGGTTCAAGTCAGTAGAATGTCCTTGAGTCTACCCAGCTCTGATGGGTACCTAACTCACGTTAGGAAAACAAAGGCGGATGGGCATAGTGCTGACCATTTGCAGAGGTCTCTGAGACAGATGAACCTCTACTTCATCTGCTCCATGTGTCTTGGGCACAAAGCGAGAAAAGATGATAATGAATATACAGCCAAAGCAGTAGATTTTCTGTAAATAAAATCAAAGCAAATACTTCATTTTCTTCCATGAAATTTATTTGTAACCTACAAAATATAATGAATATGACTTCACATTTCTATTTTTAATAATTTTAACAACTAGATAAGATTTTAAAAAAACTTAATTTTTTTTTCCGAAAAGGTAAAGCTCTTGACCTTATTGAAAAGATGTCAAAAAATAAAGAAGTGTTTGATATCATTTTCTTGGATGCTGACAAGTCTGAATATATAGAATACTTTAAAGTAAGTCAACAATGTCTCAGCTGAAACTTTTTTACAGTGAATTTTGACCTGCTTTCAGTGGCATAGGCAGGGGGGGGGGGGGTTAGGGGGGGGTCATACCCCCCCTATCAACACCTCAGCATATATATATGAAGTATGAAGGGGGGTGCAAATCAAAAGTTTGAGGGGGGGGGGGGGTGCAAATCAAAAGTTTGCCTCCAGGTAAAAATTGGAACCACCCCCTTGAGATGATCCTGGCTACGCCACTGCCTACTTTTAATTGTTATTGATGGACGCTATGAGAGACAATTTAACCCCATGACTTTGGATGTGGTATAGGGTCTACCTTATCCTGTCATTTGCCTTACACCACTGTAACTGACCCTTTTTCATAGTTACAGTACCCACACCACCAGAAAGAAACCCAGTGGACTGCCAGTAACTTTGAGATAAGAGTAGATTACAAGTCAGATATGGCCTCTTTTGTCTCCTTTTTTTCTGGCCATTTGAAGACTACACTGATTACACAGGTACACACTACAAAGGCTGATAGGCTGACAAAGTATTTGTGCTCTACTTTTCTCAGCACAGTGTCTTCATTCTACCCCTTTTCTTTCCTTATTCAGGGTATATGTTATACCAGTGTGGGATAATATGCCACAATAATGGAATCTTCTAAAAAAGCGGTGTTTAGTTACTGCTAGTTAACTAAATAAAATATGACTTGCTAATGTTAAGGCTAACCCTAGCCCTAACTAAAGTCTTAACATAGCAATAACCAAAGTTCTACTATAACCATAACCAAAGTCCTACCATAGCCCTAACCAGTCCTACCATAGCCCTAACTAAAGTCTTAACATAGCCCTAATCAAAGTCCTACTATAGCCCTAACCAAAGTCCTACCATAGACCTAACCAGTCCTACTATAGCCCTAACCAAAATGCCACCATAGCCCTAACCAAAGTCCTACCATAGCCCTAACCAAAGTCCTACCATATCCCTAACCAAAGTCCTACCATAGCCCTAACCAAAGTCCTACCATAGCCTTAACCAAAGTCCTACCATAGCCCTAACCAAAGTCCTACCATAGCCCTAACCAGTCCTACCATAGCCCTAACCTAAAGTCCTACCATAGCCCTAACCATAGTTCTACCATAGCCCTAACCAGTCCTATCATAGCCCTAACCAAAATGCCACTATAGCCCTAACCAGTCCTACCATAGCCCTAACCAAAGTCCTACCATAGCCCTAACCAAAGCCCTACCATATCCCTAACCAAAGTTCTACCATAGCCCTAACCAAAGCCCTACCATAACCCTAACCAAAAGTCCTACCATATCCCTAAACAAAGCCCTACCATAGCCCTATCCCTCATTTCTGACTACAACACTAATCCTGAGATTACCCTACTACAACCAACCTACCACACCTACCTTTGGAAGAGTCTATTGTGGGACATCTGTAATACCTTTACTCCTCTTATCCATAGTAGAACAGCTGTCTTATAAGCCTTGTACTGAAACAATACACTTTTGTTGCCAGTATGCCTTTGGTCAGAACATGCTGAGCCCAGGGGGGTGTGTGCTGATAGACAACGCCTATATGCTGGGGGACGGCTACCTCCCCAATGCTAGAAGAGATTGCTCCAGGATATTAGCTGAGACTATTGCGGCTGATCCAACATTGCACTGTGTAAGTTCATGCATACTCAGTCAATGAGTCATTACAGTATACATATTAAAATATGGGAGAGTAAAAGTAAGGTACTGTATGTTAAATTGGGGCCACATGTGTATATAAGTTCATGCATGCTCAATAACTACAGGTGAAATAAAAACATGTGAGAGTAAAAATAAGGTACTGTATGTTACATGGGGGTCACATATAACATTTACGCTACATCAGTTTAATTTATTTGTGGAAGTATGTGGTTTTTTCACACAGATAATATTACATTTCTTAATCTTTTAACACATTCTGAAAGCATTATTTGTTTTATAGTTAGCACTGTTTTAAGTATGGTGAGATTGTTTATTGAAATATAGCCTACATTGTTTACACATTAATCTTTTTTATTAGTTATTTTTTTTATATTTTTCCAGACAAAATTTGAAATCAGAATTCATTAAAAAATAGGTTAACAAAAAATATGAAAGAAATACATATATAAAGTTTATGTTAATGATGATAGGCTCCTAAATATGTGTTAAGTTTAGATAGTTTTTTAAGCTGACACTGCGAACATGACATATTGTTTTGTGGGACATGAGAATAGACTGTTGTTTAGTGTGCTAAGATTACACATATCTTTTTAAATTTAAACTTAAAACCTACACAGTCATGTTACTAATTCAGGTAACACATGGTATGGTAACCCAGTGTGTTACCACCCCCACTGCCAAGTATGTACTAAAACTATAGGAAATTTGGTGCCACCCCTTCTCCTGTACCTAATTATGTATCTAATTTTAACAATTTAATTAACTAACTTGAAAAGCAGACTTCCTCATTAAAATTCACTACATGTTATGGTGTCACACCATTGGATGATGCCACCCGGGGCAGTCCACACCCCCAGTTTCGATGCTACCGAACCAACCTAAAAAAAACTTGGGTGGCCAAGGTTATAATTTAAAAATAAAATATTTATCATTGAGGTTCTAGTACCAAGGGTATAATTAAAATAAAATATTTATCATTGCAGGTTCTTGTACCAATCAGGGATGGCATATTCTTGATTCGTCGAATCACTGATGTTGAAGGTGCAGTGGCCTAGTTGACTTTTAAGTGACACAAGTTCTGTTTTAGGTTGTTTTAGCTTTGCATTCAATTTGAACATTAGTCTACAAAAATAAAATGAACACGTTTGTTCATTAATTGTAGGCATACTAAGGATTTCTATATCCTTTTTTATTTTATAAATTAAATGGAATTTACAATTTTTAAAGTTGCATTTCATTGTATTTAATTTTATTACTGCCGTGTAATTTTATTCTAGTCTTACAGATGATATAGCTGTAAAACTGTGCCATGTTTATCATTAAGATAAATTATATGTTGTTATTTCATTGTTTCATGCCTTTGTGGATCTTTAAATCATAAACATTATGCAAGTATTTTTAATAAAGATTTTTTAAAACCATTGTATTTGATTATAGTTATAGCATATTCCATTAATTTTAATTTCTTGAATGGAGATAAAATATTGATTTAAGTATTACTTTCTCGTTCAGTTTGTGTTATATTCATGTTAGTTGATTATACTGATAGGACTGTTGTGTCACATGGTGGAGAGAGTGGGTCCCGTTCTGCAGTAGATGCAGTGTTTCTTTCAGACATTTTTCTTTGGGAGAGGGGGTGGGCGCTGGTAAAAGATAGGCCAATATTATAAAAGTATATATTTTTTCTACAATATAAATTCTATTCCGAATACGAAATGGAATTTATATATAAAATATATACTTTTACCAGTGTCCGAACACCCCCGGAAATTTTTAGTCCGCCCCCCCCCCACCACCGGAGAAAAATTGTCTGGAAGAAACACTGATTATAAGCTAGGCGAATCGGTTTCTAGAAGCATCGACTTGTGCACAGCACCACTTGATGCGAGCTCTAAATTCCCACCACTAACATTTGCATTTAGATAGAAAACAAAATTAGAGGTTTGACTGCGCATGCCCAGGATTTGATCGAACGGTGTAGTGATAGCATTTCGATGAGATGATGTGGTCCCCCCCTCCCACTACGCCTCCTTTGGTTCTAGTCTGTAGGTGTTTGTAATCAGTGGCGTCACTAGGACGGGTGTCATCCAGTGCTGCAACTGGGGGTGTCACCCCACCCCCTCCAATAGTTTTGCATTTTCATTTAGTGCCGCCTTTCTCCCATATTAACTTATTACTTGAACTGGACAAAACATTTAATTCAATGTCACCCCCTTCAATGGTGTCAACCTCGGTGCAGACCGCACCCACACCCCCGCCTTGTGGCGCTACTGTGGTTCACTAAACTTTTAAAATACTCACCAGCCGCCATTGCAGAGCCGTAGCGATCCTTCCCGGCGCCCGGGGACAAACTTTCAATTTGGCGCCTCCCTCGGGAGCAAATTTTCCATTTGCACCTCCCCCCCCCTCAAACTGCAAAAATGCAGCTAAAATGACATTTTAATTTGTTTTTACAACCCATTTTGGCGCCCCCTAAGGTCGGCGCCCGGGGAAATATGTCCCCCCCCCCCCCCCATCGCTAAGCCTCTGCGCCATTGTTTACAAGCCTAGAAGGGGTGATCACGATTTAGCACAACAAGTGCTGCCCCTTGGCCAATGCATCCTTCCTTCTTTTTCTAACCCACAATTGATACCAGTGGGTTTTTAAAAGAATTTTTCTCCGGGGGTGCACTTAAAACCAGGGGCGTAGCGAGGGGGGGGCGGGGGTGCGGATCGCACTGGTGACACCATTTACGGGGGTGACACCAAGGCAAAAAATAGCAAATTATATAGAGAAAAACTTGACGGGGGGGGGGGGGTGAAAATCGAAAACTTGAGGGGGGAGGTGCAAATCGAAAACTTGAAAGTTTGTCCCCGGGAAGGGTCGCTACGCCTCTGGGGAGTGACACCATTAAGTGCCGCACCGGGTGACAGCCGACCTCGCTACGCCACTGCTTAAAACCATCGGGGTGGGTGGATATATTTACTAAGTTTCTGTATAAATTATATTTCGTCCGGGGGGGGGGGGGGCGGTAGACTTGCTTTGGGACGAGGGGGGGGGGGTGAGGGTCAATGCCCTCATAAGAATTGCTTGAAAGAAACAATTGATACGTCGTTGGCAAATGAAAGAGTCAGATCTGATATTCTGATATTATTGTTAACATCGAACATTACTGAATATTTAGGTTTTAAATTCTAGTTTGTTTTTTCTCCAAGCTGAAGAATATATCATTTATACAACACAATGAATTGTGTTTAAACACACTGACGTTATTCCTGAAATAAAACGCATAAAATCACTAAAAACAAGAAAAGTGTGTTCCACTTTTAATGTGAAAGCAAACATGGATTAACTGTCTACAAACGCTAATCAATCTAAAATAAATATGATTGCAATGATTTTATTATTTAGATTCAAATATTAATTACATTTTTTAAAGAGCAAACAATATTAGATTTTATGACGTTGTTGAATATGCTACAATGATTTTTAATTATTTTTTTTAAACAATGTTTTTTTCAACATAATAATATAGGCGTAGTTGAAGATAATTTTTTTAAAAAGAGTATATTCAAATGGCGACCCCCGTACAAGTAAAAAGTCAATATTAATATGGAAATTAACAAACCCCGAAATAAGATTTTATGCTTGGTAATTTCTAATGCGATTTCATATGTTTGTACTGTATTTGCTTAAAACTCCCTGCTCGGTAAAGTCTCTGACGTTTACTACTAGCTTCGTACCATATATTGTTTTTGGGGTGTTCCAAATGACACGTTTCTAAAAGACGTTTTTAGCTTGAAAGGTTTCATAGACTCATGGCTGAAAAAAAACTAACATTAAAAGTAAATAAAATCTATTCGTGGAATAGCTCTCGCTGTCATCGTTTAAATGTAATTTCAACTAACTTTGAAAAAATAGAATTTCTAGATTATATTTACTTTAATGATTATTTTTAGATATATGAAGTTATTCACTCCAAGACACTACTTAAAGTGTAAAAAATAATTATGAACAATATTTTGTTTGGTTTAGTCCACAAGTTGGCGACCACCCTGGGGGTCGGGACCCACAGTTTAGGAACCCGTGGGTTATCGAGTTAACAATGGCATAAAGCAGACCAGCATACACTTCTGCTATATTTGTTAAATACTTTTTTGTTTGCAAACATAAATATTTAATAAACCGGGAGTAATCTCCCCTAAACTTTCTCGAATATTCTAATATAACACTACGTGGGATGTCAACTCGGAATATAGACATGATTTTTGTTTACTTAAACTTTTAAAAATAGAATAAAATCTAGTAGAAAAAAAAATGCGCACCAAGCTAGCACCAAAACCAAATGTGCGTAATAGTGCGCAATATTATTAGTACTTTAAAAATTTACATTAGTTTTTTGAGAAATCGGAAGTAGCGTAAATTACTACTTCCGGTCAACGGAAATTACTCAAAATTTAACAGAAGGTAGAGAATTAGATCTTTTACTTACATGTGAAATTTCATTTATCTATCTGAAATAGTACTCAAGTTATAGGCTTTTGAAAAATTTAAAGTAGAAAAAGTACCACTTCCGGTTGTCGGAAATCGCTCAAAAGTTGATACGGATCTACGATTTTGATATAATACTTATATATGAAATTTCATCAACTTAGCTGCAACGGTACTCAAGTTATCGTGTTTACACACGGACACACACACAGACACACAGACACACACACACACAGACATACGGACAAGATTGCAAAATTATGTTTTTCCGTATCAGTGAGGTGTAAAACGTCGAGATCTGTAAAAATCTCGATTTTTTTTTTTTGCACGATTACAATACTTTCTCTATACTTCGTATATACGAGAAAGTAAAAAGGTAAAAAGTGGGCTTCTATATAAAACACGTGAGCCTATAAAACATTAAAACTACTTGTATAAAATTTAAAAGAAAATATCCTGTCGTATACAATAATTACGGATAAATTACGAAATAATGTTATTTAAATTTAATTGAAAACATCTTAATGTAAAGAAAAAACATCTACCCAAAACTAGTAGGTTTAAAAATAAACCGGGAGTGATCTCCCCTAAACTTTCTCGAATATTTTTATATAAAATTACAGGGGATGGGAACTCGGGCTATAGACATGATTTTTAATCCATTTTAAATACTTAAAGTTTTAAAAATAGAATAAAATCTCGTAGACAAATTAATTGCACACCAAGTGAACGCGAAATAAAAAAGCGCATAATAATGCGCAATATTATTAGTACTTTTAAAATTTACATTAGTTTTTTGAGAAATCGGAAGTAGCGTAAATTACTACTTCCTGTCAACGGAAATTACTCAAAATTTAACAGAAGGTAGAGAATTAGATCTTTTACTTACATGTGAAATTTCATTTATCTATCTGAAATAGTACTCAAGTTATAGGCTTTTGAAAAATTCAAAGTAGAAAAAGTACCACTTCCGGTTGTCGGAAATCGCTCAAAAGTTGATACGGATCTACGATTTTGATAAAATACTTATATATGAAATTTCATCAACCTAGCTGTAACGGTACTCAAGTTATCGTGTTTACACACGGACACACACACAGGCAGACACACACACACACAGACATACGGACAAGATTGCAAAATTATGTTTTTCCGTATCAGTGAGGTGTAAAACGTCGAGATTTGTAAAAATCTCGATTTTTTTTTTTGCACGATTACAATACTTTCTCTATACTACGTATATACGAGAAAGTAAAAAAACACCTTTTTTTGATTTGATCACTTATCCCCCTACATTAGTTGATTTGATCACTTACCCCCCTACATTAGTTGATTTGATCACTTACCCCCCTACATTAGTTGATTTGATCACTTACCCCCTACATTAGTTGATTTGGTAACTTACCCCCTTACATTATTTGATTTGGTAACTTACCCCCCCCCCCCCTACATTAGTTGATTTGATCACTTATCCCCTACATTAGTTGGTCACTTATCCCCCTACAAGTCGACCCACCAAATGAATAGTTGAACCTTCAACGATATTATAATATTCCAGAGTAAACCCAGTCTCTAGCTGTTTGCCTTCAAACAACAGGCGCTGTTTCTCAACCTTGATCTTCAAACAGTCCTCGATTATCTTCATCAGCGTCTTTACGAGCATAATCTTCTGCACAGTGAAAGGGTAACTCTTGTCTTCTTTCTTGATTTTTATCTGGTAGTCTTTTTCGTCGTTTCTTTCTCCTGGGGTGGTGTCAGCGTCAAAGTGGTGGTTGAATGAGGAGTCCCAGGGGCTGTGAATGCCGTGGGAGGACATGGTGACCTCTGTCGAGATGGGGTACCATGGATGAGGACCAAACGAAACATCAACGTTGGCTTTGTACGAACAGTAAGGGATCGTACACATGGTAGTGGGGGGGGGGGGCGTACCGGGAGA